GTCAACTGGGTACATAATACAATGTGTCCATTTTATTCACAATATTTTTAAGACCCTAAAAATGAGAAAATGTCCATGTAATTAACCCATGGGCAGAAGTAGATACTGGCATTTTCTTTGATATTCTATACATCTCATAATTCATGAATTCTATTTCTAAAGACACTAAAATTCACTTTCTAATAAGGTACACATACAGGTCAATGAATCTAACAAGTAACTAAAATTCTCTGACCTCATGTTTCCAGACTGTAAGTTTTGAGTTTCCCTTGGTAATAAAGGGATATTAATTTAAATATCAAACTGTTGTTTGGGGTATATACACACAAGAATAGGAAACAGAGATTCAAACTGTCATTTGTACACCAAGATTCATGGCAGTATTATACACAGTCACCTAAAAGTAGAAACAATCTACATGTCCTTCAACTAACGAATGTATAAACAAATTATGGTATGTATAGATAATGGAATATTATTCAGCCTTAAAAAGGAGAGAAATGTTGATACATGCTACAACATGAATAAAACTCATTGAAGACACCATGCTAAGTGCAATAAGCCAGACATAAAAATATATTTTATAGCCTCTCTTGTATACGGTAAATATAATCATGAATAGTCATAGTCACAGAGACAGAAAGTACTATCGTGTTTACCAAGGGCTAAGGGAGTTATTGTTTAATGGGTGTAGAGTTGCAGTTTGGGATGATGCTAAAAGGTCTAGAGATGGATAGTGGTGTTAAATATACAATAATTTATTATGTATATTTTACCACAATAAGAAAGTACCAACAAAATAAAATGTCTACACAGGGTCAAAACATTTAAAGATGCTGTATACATGGTAACAGTTTATAAAAGGCTATAGTAATCCTTACAATTATCTGCAATATATTAAAACACAAAATAAATAATTGTTAAATTCTTTAAATTATATAAAGCAATCTTAAAAAGTTACTTTGAAAACCATATATATGTCATGTTGTACTGTTATACCATTTTGTGTTTTCTTTGTCTCTATATATTTAAGTAATTCTAATATAAAACATCAGAATAATTATTGCCATTGTATTTATTACAATCATATTTTATAAAATAGAGAAAATGCATGTACTACCTTACTCCTGGAGCATCCAACAGAAAACATTTTAGATCAAATGACAAACGTGTTCCTAAAGAAACAATTTATTACAAATCCATTTTGTCCTATTTTCATGGCAGTGAAGATTTCTTCTGAATATGTTACCTGGGTTTTCTGTTTTCTCTTTGGTCACTGTTCCAAATCTGAGCTTCTGCAATTCTTTGGTCCTGAAATATGAACACTTAGTTGCATGAAAATAAGTCAGGATTGCCAACATATCAACCCCAATGTGACTATGGAAAAATGCCAGGGCCCACTTAGTCACTATAGCCAGAAATGCTTTGTCACATAAAGATTTCTCTTTCTCTGCCTGCACAAAACATGACCATCTTCAACTTACACAGACATTTGACAGTTTGGATTATGGGATTATACAGAGTTGGCTTCAAGAATGTATAGTTGATATGAATGATGAACGATCAAGTTTGAAAGCCATCATCGAGATTATGTACCAAAAACGAAATGTAAAATTTCATTATATTTAACTGACCAAATTAATTAAATAAAGCTTTAGTAGCATTTTTAGTCCATAATGCAGCGGATTTTTCGGATTGTTGGGATATTTCTGACAGCATTTACATGACTGTTTTAATATGGTCCATGCCTAGTACAATAATGATGTGTTTTTACATCTTGACAACAACATTAATCCCCAAAGAGAAATCTTCTCCCAGGTAAGGAAATATATGACTGGGCACTTAATCAACAATGAACAACAAATTACTTCACGGAGTTGCTATAACATTTTGTCCCCAAGGTTGCTTGTTCAAAATTAAACTCACTGAGGAATCATGCTCTCGAGAACTGAGACCTTCTACATCATGCATGTTTTCAGAGGCTTCTGGCCAATCATTTCAGGAGAATTAAGTGGAAAAAAAACAGCAATCTAAAATCAAGGAGCACGTACTTATTAATACTAAAAATATAAGATTGCATGAACAAGAATTCTTTATTTTTTTAATTTAATATTATTTCTTTTAAGTTTACTTATTTATTTTGAGAGAAAGAGAGAGAGCACGTGAGCAAACATGAGAGGTGGAGGGGCATAGAGAGAGAATTCCAAGCAGGCTTCCTCACTATCAGTGCAGAGCTCTATGTGGGGCTTGAATCCACAAACTATGAGACCATGACCTGAGCCAACATCAAGAGTTGCTCAACCAACTAAGCCACCCAGGGGCCCTTTTTGTTATTGTAGAGTAAGGGAGAGGAGCAGAAGAAGCAGAAGCAGAAGAAGAGAGAGAGAGAGCGAGAGAGAGAGAATCCTAAGCAGGTTCCATGCACAGCACAGAACCCAAGTCAGGGCTCAATCCCACAACCTGGGATCATGACCTGAGTTTAAATCAAGAGTCAGACACTCAGCTAACTGAACCGCCCAGTCCCCCAACAATTCCTTATTTTCAAATTAATCAGTATATATTTGAAATTCTCAAGTTGAAGAAGACACTCGAGTGAGGTAAAAAGATGAAGTCTTCATATACAAAAGACATACTTAATAAGAATGGCACAACATTATTGGTAATCAATGTTAAAAGTTTCCATTTAACTTAGAGGAGGTAACACCCACATACAAAATTCCAACTCAGAAATTTTGCCCCAAAGAAGAGAATCTTTCTTAAAAAAAAAATAAGAAACATGATTAGGAAGTATAATTTGAAAGAGACCATTACAAAGTAATATAAGAAAAACAACCATGAAAACTAAACCTAGAAATATTTGACACTGGATATTCAGATGTCTTTTATATAACAATGTCAGGTCTTCAAATCTGAAACTCTATACACATGCTTTAAAAAGCATACTATATTTTTTTTATTTTTTTATTTTTATTTTTTAAAAGCATACTATATTTTTTAATGTTTATTTACTTTGAGAGACATAGAGACATCATGACTGGGGGAGGGGCAGAGAGAAGGGGAGAGAGAAAATCTCAAGCAGACATAGGGCTCGAACTCACAAATTTTGTGGTCATAACCTGGGACAAAACCAAGAGTCAGATGCTTAACTGAACTGAGCCACCCAGGTGCCCCAAAAATATACTATTTCTTTACTAAGGTTTATAGATATGGAAGTTTTCTGTCACTTGTTTGATATTTCCATTTTATTCATGACCTTGACACTTTCCTTAGCTTCCTTTTCTTGACCTTTGCCATATCTTCCTTTACTTCTCTGAACATCTCTAAGATAGTGTGTTCAAATCCTGTCCAGTCATCAGAGCTTTGTAGGGGCAATTTCTGCTGTTTTGTTTTGTTTCTTTGAATGTGCCATACCTTCCTTTGTGTACATATGGTATGTGTGTGTGTATATATATTTTTTAATAGAACATCAATAAAACAGGAGCACATTCTTTGAAAAAAATCAACAAAATTGATAAAAATTTAACCATTCATCAAAAAAAAAAAAAAAAGGAGATGAGTGAGAGAGAGATAGTTTGCAATGTTCTGGGAGGGCTGCAGACAGAAAAACCTGTTGCTGAATTTTTTACATAACAGTGAAAAACAAAATTTTATTTATTCCAAAGTAAATCATTATTAGTCAATCAGGACAAAGTACTTGAGTTGAATACAACTTTTGGGGAAAACATTGTTATACAAAATAACACATTTCTTTACCTATTTCTTTAGTATCATGAAGACAAAATAAATTCTATCTGCCTGTTGAAGAATAACAAAAAATGTACATAACAGCTACTGAGGAAAAGCATAAAAATATGTTTATAACAGGATTCATATGGTTTTCTGTGCTTAAATCAAGAACTAGTATCTGTTTTCATCATCAACAGTCCCATACAGGTTCATCCCAACCTGGGAAAACATCCAACATCCTTTTTAACAAACTTTCTCACTGATAGTGTCTAACCAAACACAAAAATACCTCCCATAAAAATGTCCTGAACTGCAGAAGCATAGGCATTTACGGGAGGAATGGAAATAACCTTAAAGACAAGATGCAGAAAGCAGCTACAGAAAATTGCTGTGCTGATAAAATAATGAACATTAACATTTATAAACCACTCTTTAGGCCCCAGTAATTTGTCTCAAGTGTTAGCCAAATTACTTTCAATTTAGTTTGGGCAAAAGTAAATTTTCTTTTTTTTTATTTTAAAAATTTATTTCTGAGAGAGAGAGACAGTGTGAGCAGGGGAGAGTCAGAGAGAGAAGGAGATGCAGAATCCAAAACAGGCTCCAGGCTCTGAGCTAGTTGTCAGCACAGAGCCTGACGCGAGGATCTAACTCACGAATCATGAATTGTGACCTAAGCCGAAGTCTGACGCTTAACCGACTGAGCCACCCAGGCACCTCAAAAGTAAATTTTCAAAAGTAGCTTGTTTTCACATTTAAAAATTTAAAACTCTTGGGTTGCCTGGATGGTTGAGTTGGTTAAACCTTTGACTCTTGATATCAGCTCAGGTCATGATCTCACCATTCATGAGTTCAAGCTCCACTTCAGGTCCATTGCTGACAGCATAGAGCCTTCTGGGAATTCTCTTTCTCCCTCTCTGTCTGCCTCTCCCCAACTCATGCTCACTCTCTCCTCTCTCTCAAAATAAATAAATAAACATTTTTTAAATTTAAAAACTATTATTTCTAAAGTTCCATTTCAATATAAACCAAGAAAAATAAGGCTACAAGGTGAAAGTAATTGTATTTTTACTTGTAATAGGACAAATACCTGTGTCTTTTATTCAACTTCCAGAATTTCCCTCAGGTTGATTCTTACCTCAAAAGACAATTTATTCTACTTCTTGATGACTTTTTGTAAATAAAGAGAAATATCTCTAGAGAATCCATTGAATTGACTAAACCCATTGTCAGAATTTACTACCTTTTTGTTGCTTTAGAACTACTCATAGATGTGTTCAGTGTCGGTGACACGTTTTTATTTTACTTTTGGTTAAATGTTTACACCAGAATTTTTCCATAGCATTTTTCATCTCTGAATTTCTCAACGTGTATATTAAAGGATTTAACATGGGAGTGATAACTGTATAAACCAGAGTTACGGATTTGTCAATGGACAAGTTGGAAACAGGTCTAACATACATGAAAATGCAGGGCACAAAAAAGAGGACAACTACTGTGGTGTGGGAACTGCAGGTGGACAAGGCTTTGCGCCTCCCTTCTGGACTGTGACTTTTAAGAGAATTTAAAATGACTCCATATGAGATGAGCAGAAGGATAAAGATGACCATGCAGATGGCTCCACCATTGGCAACCACAGTGAGGCCTATTAAGTAGGTGTCAGTGCAGGCAAGTTCCAATAATGGGTACATGTCACAGATGAAGTGATCAATGACATTGGGGCCACAAAACGGGAGGCTGTACACAAAGAGAAGTTGAACCATAGAGTGCACAAGACCTCCAACCCAGGCCACCACCAACAGCAGAATGCAAACCTGTCGATTCATGACAGTCAAGTAATGCAGTGGCCTACAGATGGCCACATAGCGATCATAGGCCATCACGACCAAGAGGAAGACCTCAGATCCCCCAAACAAGTGTTCTAGAAAGAGCTGGCCCATGCAAGCCGGGAAGGAAATTGTCCTTTTGTCACAGAGTAAGTCTATAATCAATTTGGGAGAGATGACAGTGGAATAAACAACATCCATGAGTGACAGATAGGCGAGGAAGAAGTACATGGGGGAGCCTAGAGAGGGGCTGCCAAAAACAGTCACCACGATGAGCAGGTTGCTCATTATTGTCACAATGTAGATGAGCAAAATCATGACAAATAATGCTTTTTGTCCTTCAGGATCCCGGATGAGGCCAAGGAGGACAAATTCTGTCACATTGTTATTATTTCCCATTTACTCTTTCTATACGGCCTGTTTCAGGGTTGAGAGCTCAGGAGAATGGAATCTGTAATGAAATTGTGAACAGGACTATAAATACGTCCATTGTTAAGAGCGTGTCTTCATCATTAGGTATTTTCCTACAGCAGTTTACACACAATAAATATTTAGTGATGTCTATTGAGTTCTTCCAAAAAGCCTGTTAGGTCTTCCCTTGATGATCCTATTTGTCTTCAGATGATCTTGTTGGTTTACAAGAAAGAAGTTCTATCTCTAAGTCTTAGGGGATCATCTATAGAGAGGAGCAATCAAAAGCTCAGATATAATCATAGATTTATTATAGCTTTATTTAAACTATCTATTTTTGGCACCAAAATCAGCAGTCACAAATAAGGAAAGGATCCATGCTTTCCAGAAATGTACTTTCTGGTGGTAGCAATAAACTACATAAATCAACATACAGTCACTGCTTTAAGGTGGTAGTAGTTGCAGTGAGTACCTTTACAGTGTGATTTATCTGGCACCAAAAATAGCATCTTTTCTGGAATAATTAACTTAATAATACTATGATATTCAACTATTAGATGTTCAGATTAGACTTTTATGTAAAGACTAGACTGAACTGTTTCAAATAACTACAAAACTATTTAGCACATTGCTCCTTATCACAATGACTTGGTCTGATTCTCTGACTATCAACTTCATAAGGAGTTGGAGTTCTCTCCATTTAATGTTTGCCTACTCCACAACATCTTAACACACATATACTATCTACATTTTCAACAAATACATTTGAACCAAACTGAAGAGACCTGCAAATTTCACACATTGTGACATTAGCATCTGTTTTTTTTTTTTTTTTTCAAAACTTGGCATGAACTAGGTAGTGAGGGAAGAGAAACAGACACTGAAAAGAGGGGTAGGGTACAATGGGATATGGTTTTATTTATAATGCTTCTTGGGTACTGAGAGCACTCAAAAATACAACTTTAGTGCCCAGCTTGCAAAAATTAGCACACTCAGGGGAAAATTCAAGCTCAGCGTAAGAAGGCATGGGTTTGAGTCATCTTCTAAATGTCTTACAAGCCTGCCTCGGCTTGCTCATTGGAAAATAAAGGGATCAAACAAGTCCATCTCAGAATCCTGTCTAGTCCAATGTTTTGTGAGACCTTTTGTACAGCCCTACCCCTTCTATTCTGCTGACATTTCTTTCTTTTTTCATGTTTTTACAATTAAATAAAAATTTCCAATCTTGTTACTGTTACTTGAAAAATGCTAGCCAGTGATAAATGGGATTTGATCATTACAAACAGCAAATCATGACTACAAGTTTCTCATTCAGTGTACACCTATTTAAGACCCAAAACATCCTTGGAGAGAAAGGGTAGTGCAGTGGTGACTAATGCGGACTCTGGAGCTTCTTTGACTGTTTTGGAATCCCAACTCCACTACTTACCATCTGAGCAACGTTTGGTAGCTTAACCTCTCTGTGCCCCAGTTTCATGATTTTTAGACAGGGGATAATGATAGTTTCTACCTCTTAAGTTTATTGCTTTATTACAAATAAAGCATCCAGATCATGCCTGGCACCTGTTTAAAAGCTCAGTAAATTATACTATTATTAATGTTCTTGAATGTTTCACTATTGAATTGTATCAGAACAAATTATCTGGATCTTTGTCAATTTGATAAGTATTATAGACATAGTCCTGGATAAAAAGAATATTGCACCTCTAACTCATGAACCCCTTGTTTTGCATAGGGTAAGTTTGTATGCCTTAGATATTTCCTATTTTATTACGTATGAGCAATAATATTTACCTATGATGAAATGTGTCTTGTCTGGAAGCAACCAGAAAACTAGAGAAAAAAGGTAGAAAATGAAAGATAGGAAGTATCAAATCAGGAAGGAGAAATTATATTTAAGAAATTGAATTTTTACAATTCCTGATGGATGTGGGGGGGAGGGGGGATGGGCATGGAGGAGGGCACTTGTGGGGATGAGCACTGGGTGTTATGTGGAAACTAATCGGACAATAAACTAGTTGTAAAATAAAAATCTTTAAAAAAATAAATAAATAAATTGAAAAGAAAAAAAAATTCTATGGAATTCCTAGTTTTAATATGTCCTGCTATAATGTCATCACCTAAAATTCTGATTATTAAAATGTGTGTCATAAAAATAAAAAAAAGAAATAAATATCCTCAGGTAAAAAAATATTAAAGTGATAACTAAGTGATGTTAGTATTCTTTTAAAAATATTATTCAGGGACACCTGGGCAGCTTAGTCAGTTAAGTGTCCAACTCTTGATTTCAGCTCATGTCAAGATCTCACAGTCCGTCAGATCGAGCCCTAGATCAGGCTCTGTGCTGAGAGCGTGGAACTTGTTTGGGATTCTCTCTCTCCTTCTCTCTCTACCCTTCCCTCTCTCATACTCTCTCTCTCAATAAAAAAGAAAAAACTTTTAAAAAATCTTATTCTGAAATATTTCCTTTAGTGAGGAAGTGCTAGAAGGCAAATCCCCCGAGCCTTCTAAGGGTCACTCAGGAGGCATCTTGGGAAGTCATAACAACTAAGCACAAAGCACTTCTTGTAAAGGAAAAAAAAATAAAATTCAAAAAAGAATAAAAGTACTGATTCCTCAGAGACCCTGCATCTGAAGGGAAGGGCAAAATTAAAAGAAAGAAGAATTGTACAGATACAAATACAAGCCCAGACTTTTGGGTTATTCGGTGCTCAGGGACATTAAAGAATTAACTAAACCTCAGATATAGACAAGTTGATTTCAATCCCATGGACTTGGAAGCAGGGAGGACATGCGGAGAAAGAGGAGCTTTCCTTAGAAGCCAGGTGTGACAAATGGTCTACATGCTTCATTCACATCGCTACTCCATTTGCTTGGGGAGTACTATCATCATGGAAGCTCTAGATTGATAAAGCCACACCTGTTGATGAACATAAGACTATAAGGCAGTCTATATATAATTTTTATTTTTCAATCCTTACTTTCTGCAGAAAATAGTGTTCTTGACTCTTATTAATCACCAATTTGGATTTCACCACGATAAATCTCTACTTCACGTGTAGAAATGAAGTATATAAACTATTCTCCACAGTTAAAGTCATCAAAGATTTGATACTGTAAAAACTGACTGATAGCCTTACTATACTTTAATAACTGAAACCATTAAGTAAACACAGCTCTATTTAAAAGATATATTTTACATAGTTTCTTATGAATATGTCTTTAAAAAGATAAATTAAAATCCTTTGGTAATAAAAGTACTATAGGGATTTACATTTATAGTTTTATGTCTCTCTGTGGCCAAAAGTTACTCCCAGAGCATGAGCTTCTTCATGAATATGTAGCATATGGTATTGATGAAAAGTATAAGATTCACACATAACAGCGCACATCAAGCTTCCAGAACAGAATAGGCGTTTCTTTATTCCTCTATATTCTAACACACTTGATATGACATACGATGTTAAATTCTCTAATTTAAATATCTAACAGTAATTACAAATATTAACATGCTATGTAAATTACCCCATGAACCAACTGTATAATTCCATTACTTAATTTTAAATGCATTATATGTTCCTCTTTCTTTTTTGGCAAAATAGACAATAAACATCTGTCAGGCTATACTACTAAAATCAAATACATTTTAGATACACTGATGAATTTCAGTTTTGCTAGCTTAAATTTCTCAATCCAGACGTTCCCAAAGAAAATATATAGTATTTAAGATATCTGCTACATTAAATACATTACACGAATTTTCATTAAATATACCTTGATTGTTTTAAGGACTCACCTTTTAGGTCTTTTCTTTGGTCATTAAAATAGTGCTTCTTTCACTGTGAGTAAATTGTAGATACTTCACAGATCTATGTTTGACCATAGAACACATAATAATATATGCCTGATAAGTGCATCTGAAAATAGTTCCAAGTGACCACACTTTCCATATTTCCATGAAGGTTCCACAACATCTCAGTCTTTCAAACAAGTGTAGGATTATCCAATGTGGATGTCTAGATTATAAAGACAACATATTTACTGTGCAAATATAATGGAACATTCTGACTTGCTGGGAATATGTCCTCAAAGCAACACAAAGCTGCTATGTCCAAAAGACCATGCAAGAATTACCTAATTAGAAGAAATTAACTTGGACAAGTCTGTTATTTGCCAATACAAAAATGCCCAAAATTTTATAACCTCAAATTAGCTACTAAAATAAACCTCTTATTAGGCAGTTATGGTGAGACAACAAAAAAAGTATTTTATTTTGAGGATTAGGATAACATTCATGTCTCTGTACATTAATCCGTCTCCGTGCCTAACACATAAATTCTGGGATTTGCTTCCTGGAAGGTCAATGACTGAGCAATCTCTCAGGTGGTAGGAGAACTCGTTACCTGAGAATTCTACTACTTGTCACTCATTCAAAAATGTATCTTTAAGGCCACTTCTTCCCTAACAGAAGGCATGTTTCTGCCTTTCCCCAGCTTCATCCAAGAGAATTGGGCTCTTCCATATGTCTATACAAGTTATGAGGGATATTTATGCACCAGAAAATATAAGAAGAAATCATCTAGGGAATTAACACAAACTCCAGCCTGGGCAGATATTTGAGTTGTCAGAAATCTCTTGGGCCATTGTAGCAGGAAAACAATTCTTCCATTTCTATGTTCAGACACAGTCTATGGCTTTTATGTCATTACTCTTTGTAATGAAAGAGAATATAGTCATTATAGATTACTTTATTAGAATATGTGGGACAAATTCAAATGAAGTAAACACTTCTGGACAGTTTTCTCTCCTAGAACAACCTCCAGAGAGGGGGAAAAAAAACAACTAGGCTCTAGCCACAAAGAAGAACAGACAGTCAAATATGTGAAAAGCCTCTAACCTAAACAGGAAAACAATGTTAAACAAACAATAAATTGTGAGCTTATAGTAGGAAACATTTAGGTAAGGGAAGTCATATTTAGCCAGCATAAAGA